AAAAAAAAAAAAAAGAAAAGAAAAGTTGCATTGTACTTAATATGATTTTAAAACTCTGCATCATTTAAAATTGGAATTTGATCTTCCTAAAGCCTCCTTTACCCACTTTTCATGCCTAAACTTCCCATGTGTTATTATGACACGAAATGCTAAGGAACAAGCTGTCTGGACTCTGTGCTGAGTAGGTGACAGATAGCCTACTCTGCCTCCTGACTACAAAGATTGGTGGAACATCACTTCATGGCCTTTTGGCTAAGATCAAAAGTCAAAATGGATGGAGTAAATGCTGTGACAATTTATGGGAAAAGGGTATGAACCCTTTAAAGTGGAAGAGAACAGCACAATGGTCATTGCTGTGGCAAAGTCAGCAATTCCTCACGCGAAGTTCACGGGTTTCAGAGATGAAACACGAGCAAAGATATCTTTCAGGAGTTGGCCAGGAGTCTCTTGTCGCTCTAAAACCATGAAGAACTTTATGTAGATTTTGTCTTAAGGGCATGTGCATATATTATAAATAAGGATAAAAAACCTGTCTTGCCACTCTAACTTGCGGAGAACCCCATTCCCCAGCGTTTCTGTAATAACACACAAGGCCAGGCCCATGGAGGAACACTGCATTACATGGTTTAAACTGTTTTGTTTGGCAAAGAAGATGCTCTGCACATTTTGCTTGTTAGATATCATGTTAAAATTAAGTTTGCATCTGTGTGTATAGAACAGAATCCAGATTAAATAGACACATTCAATTAAACCTTGATTATAAAATGGTAAACAGGGAAGTCTTTTCCATTCTGGCAACTGTGTGAACACATAAAGGAGCTGCAGAGAAAACCCTGAGGTGTGAGGCCATTTCATAGGGCTTACGTTTATGTGTCACAATCACATCCGGGCACTGGGGCTGTATAGAATTTTGACAAATGTTGGAATTTTGGCTTTGTTTTTCTTTTAACTAGCCTAGTGTTACATTTGCTTAATGTAATAAAATTAACTTACTAAAATTCCCCAATTTTTCCCCCTCAAGGTAAAAGGATTCTTCAGCTCTTTGAAAGAAAATGGTTCTCAGCTCCGGTGTGTCCAACAAACAATTGAAACCATTGAAGAAAACATACGCTGGATGGATAAGAATTTTGATAAAATCAGAGTCTGGCTGCAAAATGAAAAGCTGGAACTGTTGTAACAAGCTAGAGATGGTTATTTTGGCTCCAGCTGAAGATACTTCCTTTCCTTTTGACCTTTTATTCATTAGACTATTTTTCTAAGAAAACTGTTAGTTTTTTCATCAATGAGCTATTGCTACATTTGACAGGTGTTGTCCTATGATGTCAAGTGGCAGGTTCCTTACTATAAAGAACACAACACCTATTCTTTTCTTTTTCATGCTGAAGCCCCGTGGTGTCCCAAACCCTGTGCCCCACCTGTTTGTCACTCATAAACTGTTTCATCAATTTCCTGGAAAGACTTGGAACAGTGAAGACTACTAACAATGGACACCTGGATCAGAGACAAAGCTGGATTGTGGCTGTGTCCATGATCTCCTGTTGGCCCATCCAGATCCGCTGTCCACCCTTCTCCCTTGCTCCTTGCCTGGGTACCAATGTGTAGAATGATTCGTCAGGCTTCCTGCCTGTTAGATTTTGGACCCAGGAGGATAGTGCTGGGGTCTGGGAGGGGACCAGTGGATGTGCTTCCCTGGTTTCCTGCAGAGTGCCTCAGGCTAGACTCTGCTGACCCCCCTTACCTCCTGACAGGTGGCAGCCCTCTCTCCCACACAGACTTCTCCAGCTCTGCTTCCTCCTCTCACCCTTCAGGACTAGGGGCCTCAGTGGGTCCCGGGGTTCTTTGTGGTTTTCTTACACCTCAGCTCCACCTTGCAAAACTCCCTTCATAGAACCCTGCAAGGAAAACCTTTCACTTGCAATAATACCAGACAGCTGTTGACCCTTAGGGTGGGGGGTGATAATCTTCTCTCTCTGTGCCTTATTTAGCCTAGTAGTTTATAACTCATAGGTAACTTATTATTGGCACTTATTGCCAGTAAATCATTGCAGAGTCATCAATAGATGATCACATATTGTGAAGTGGAAAATATTTGCTTGTATATTAGCCTAACTGATGATAACTTTGGCTTTGAAGTCACATATGAGTTTCTTTTTTTTGCAGTTTTTGGCCAGGGCTGGGTTTGAACCCGCCATCTCTGGCTATGGGGCTGGTGCCCTACTCCTTTGAGCCACAGGCACTGCCCACACATATGAATTTTTTTAATATATGAAAAATTTCAAGATAAAGGAATATGATTGATATGAGAAATGTCAAAATATGTTGCTGTAATACACTATGAATAGAATCACATTTCTGGATTTAAATGTATTTCCAATTCCATTTTTATACTTATTGCATGGTTAATGGTTTTAGAACTAAAAACAGAAACAAATCACTGGTAATTTCAACCCCAGGCTATTTTCCTTCTAAAAATGCATACAAAGACAAGATTTTAATGTAAAATATTTTGCTTTAATTATATTTTATATTTTGATTAATGAAACATGGAAACACTGATTTTCAGTTTTGGTCACCTGAGGAACCTATCTGCATTTCCTTTTGAAAAGCCCATTTTGTAAACAGATGCAATATTACCACAACAGTGTGCCAACAATTCTTTGGTAATAAAAAATGTCTTCCCCCAAGCATACATTTATGATTATTTTCTCCTAATTAGATAACAAAAGGCCTCTGCCTTCACTCTCCTGACTTACCCCAGTCATCTTTAGTTACCAGTAAACACTCCAGTCTCAGAGAAACTTCACATAAAAAGGAAGGCATATTCAGAGTACCTTAAATAAATATTTACTTCTACAGGTATTTTTAAACCTCCAGAATTGGTATGTCATTAAAAATGCTTCTGAATACGCACAGATGTTAGTAATACTGCAGCCACACCCTTACAACCACATCTTATCAATGTCAAAGGTCTCAAAGTCTTTCTTGTTTACAGTTTTGTTTTGTTTGCTTTGTTTTGTTTTGCCTGGGGCTGGGTTTGAATCTACCACCTCTGGCATATGGGGCCAGTGCCCTATCCTTTGAGCCACAGACACCACCCAAGTCTTTCTTGTTTAAACAAACAAAAAAGGAAACACCTATTCTGCCCAAATGGGAGAAGGAGATACACAGTTAAAATCTCTAGGGAAAAGTAGTGGTTTTTTTTGTTTTCTGCCTTAAAAATAGGATAATGACTACATCTCTCATGAGACAGACACATAGCATTTTAAGCAAGCATTTTAAGTAGTTTGAAATCCCATAGGTAACTTTTACAGAGTATTTTTAGAGAATACTAACTAAATTTGATGCCCCTTATAAGCGGTGCTATTCTTTTTGTTTGTCCTGCCCCCATTAGACAGTATGGGTGATATTAGTGAAGCCAGTTAAGTCCTAACAGAAGCTCTAAACCAGCGATTCTCAACCTGTGGGTCGCGACCCCTTTGTTAACAATGAAAATACATCACAGCATTAGGAAGGTTGAGAACCACTGCTCTAAACTGATGCTAAGGCATTTGTTTGCTTTGGAAACAAATTCCAGATCTGCTCTATGTTATGTACCTGACATCCATTCACTACCTGAAAATATAGCTGAAATTAAATATTCATCAAATCCCATCAATGACATTATGTTCACAAGCTTGTCAATGTTCACAAGTGCAACGTTCACAAGCTTGTCACTCAGGAAGATCTTAGAAACCAAAGTTGTAAGACATCAGAGCCTAGTTCTTGAATTATTGTGGGGGAAAAGCAGATTTTAAATTTCAGATAAATGTAGATATATATATTTTTTTTTGAAGTGGAATTTTTTTTTTTAATTAGGTAAACATAACTTCCATAATGCCTCATGCTATACAGTGGAAAGACTGATATGGTAATGGCTACAAGCAAAGAATTCCCGCTAAGGTTTTATATAAAGAATAGAAAGGAGTTTAGCAACGCAGCCAAGAGAGTTCAAGCCATATGAATAGTCTAAGTATTAGATTTTATTTCCTGTTCTCAAAACGTGCAGCACACTGACTTGTCTGGTCTGTAGTTTGTTGACTTGACTGAAGGTTGCTGTGTTTTGTGTTGACCTGAAGGTGCAGAAGAGTGGCAAAGAAGAGTTCAAACTGAGAAGGGTTCAGTGCTTCCTGGTTTCTCCAGGGATTCGACTTACTTTACTGCTCGCAGCCCAAGAGGGAGTTTGTGCCCAATGTATAACATTTTATGTTTCACTCATGAACATTTGCCCCCACCTCCAAATCAAGTACAGTTCAAAAACCCAAGAGGAAAGGGGGTAGGTAAAAAGAAATCAGAACATCAAAGAATGTTTAAAGCATTATTTTCCAAATGCTAACAAAAAAAACAAGGTGCAAACTGAAAATACTAATGAGATTTACAGGCACTGTGTGTACAATGTGCAGAAGTTTGCAAAGGTTTTCTCTCTCTCTTTTTTTTTTTTTTTTTGCTGTTGCTTTAAGAAACTTTATCAAATATATTTATTACAAATATAAAGCTTCTTTTCTATCCCAACCAAAGGCAATTAATTAAAAAAAAATTCAAAGGTTATCAATACTCAGCACAATTACACAGGTGAACCAGAGCAATTCATTTTCTTTCTGGAAAAGAATAACAAACCAATGTTTAGGATGTCAAAGACTCAAATCTAGCAGCCACCCAGAAAACATTATGTTCTGTTGCCAAAGCTTTTTGTTCTTCAAAAGTCACCATTCACCAGCTGAAGATTTTATATGCAGATACCTTGAAAAATTCAAATAAAAAATCCAGTAAAACCACTTGATAATACAATTTTCTTGTTATAAGCACAGTATTAGCACACTAACATTTATCATATAAGCACCGTATAACAGTCCATTAGAAGGAACTTATTCAAAGTAAACAAGAGAGTGGATTATTAAAAGAAATTTTTTTAAATTTGGGGGAAAACAGCAGTTCTAATCAGTAGTCTTCCCTCTTACAGAAAATAAAAATGAATCAATGTAAGCTTCATTTTGTTTCTTTTAGGCTTTGGGAAGTGGGTGCTTGTATGCTTTCAAGGCTTACAGTAAAACCTCCCATATCTGAAGATTAAGATCAGGACCCAGCTCTCCAGACAGATCTCAGATTCCTTCATCTATTGGTTTCCTTCAGTCACCATAATGTAGAATCAAACACAGTACTTCACAAAATTAAGACAAATAAAGTGGCCAATCTTTTCCTTGGCTCTTAGTTCCAAAAACCCTGTAATTTCCCCTAGACACTAAACTTCTCGCTACCCCACACACTGGTATCTTGGGTAATAATATCTTTCTTAAGGACATTTTGCTAAATTGTAACATGATAATTTTGCTTTGTCATAATAATGGATTTCAAAGACTCAACTAGCTTTGTATAGTCATTTTCTTTAAGTGTTTGGCCTAATATTTTAAAGAGCTCTTAATTATAAGATTAAGGTTTTTATTTATTTATTTTTTGGAGACAGAGTCTCAAACTGTTGCCCTCAGTACTGAGTGCCGGATGTCACAGATCACAGCAACGTCTAACTCTTGGGCTTAAGCGATTTTCTTGCCACAGCCTCCCAAGTACCTGGGACTACAGCACCCACCACAATGCTGGGCTATTTTTTGGTTGTAGTTGTCATTGTTATTTGGCAGGCTCGGGCTAGATTTGAACCCACCAGCTCCTGTGTATGTGGCTGGCGCCCTAGCCACTGAGCTACAGGTGCAGAGCCAGATTAAGGATTTTAAAAGTTTCAAGAGCACAGTCACCCCATTTAGTGCTTTTCAGAGAATAATTTACAGTTTTGCAGACTGGGCAGTGTGCATTTCATGCCCATGGCATAAGGGCAGAACAAATGTACAAGAGGTGGGCTCCACATAACACAGGGGTTGGGAGAAGGTGCTGTTGTCTTCATTTACATGCTAATTTAAATGTATATTTACATTTCAGTGAATATCTACATTTACATTTAACTTACCAAATAGTGTAAACTTTAACTTGTATCTCTTTCACCAGTTTTTGGCTTAGAAGTTCCCTCTGTTGTCTAAAAGGAAAAGCAAAACCATCAATGAGCTCTTTCTTTTCTGGGTTAGATCTCTGAAAAACTCATCAACCAGAGGTGCTTTATGAGGTGGAGGGATTCTCAGAATTAAAGAGAGGAAGGACGGCAATCAGTGGGAAAAGAAGATGGTCCTTTCAAAGTTTCTCTTCATTTGGCCCAAATGTATGATTTCTTTTCCCTCAAGTTTATGAGGTTAAAAATAGCCTGAAGTGATCCTAAAGTTCTTACTTCACACTTTTTTTTTTGTTTAAGGCCAAGCTAGGTAAAGGGAAAAAAATGCACAGGCACCCTTGGATAGCAATGTTTCCAGCAATCCACCCTTTTCCTGCACTCGGAGGCATGCTGGTCACCTAATCACTCCTCCAACAGGGTTATTACGCTCTATTATTTATTTGTTAAAGGGCTGTTCAAGTACTTTATATAACCAGAATTAAATAACATGAAAAGAAGTATGTCATCATTAATGCTAGTTCTTATACCCTTTAATGGAATCTACTGTAGGAAGATTTCACTATTTTGTTTTTACTATGAGATTCTTTTTTTTTTTTTTTGGTTAAGCAGGACCAGTCTGGGTTAGAACCCACCATCCCTGGTGCACAGGGCCAGCACTATAATCACTGAGCTACAGGTGCCCAGCCTTATTATGAGCTTTGATGAAACTGGATTAGTCTTTTTAAAGCTACACTTCAGGGGCTCGGCGCCTGTGGCTCAAGTGGCTAAGGCGCCAGCCACATACACCTAAGGTGGCAGGTTCGAATCCCCAGCCCGGGCCTGCCAAACAACAATGACGGCTGCAACCAAAAAATGGCCGGGCGTCTGTGGTCCCAGCTACTTGGGAGGCTGAGGCAGGAGACTCACTGGAGCCCAGGAGTTGGAGGTTGCTGTGAGCGTGATGCCATGGCACTCTGCCCAGGGGGACAGCTTGAGGCTCCGTCTCAAAAAAAATAAAAATAAAAAATAAAGCTACACTTCTAATTTCTCATTGTAGTCAGGGGATTATAGTAATAATCACTTGAATCGTGTTCGTGGAAGTGTCTAACTTCCATTTCTGACTACAGTTTTAAAGTTTTAATAATGGAAAGTTCCCAATATCTATGTTCTAAGTTTATATAGACTACATACTTAGTCTATGGAAATTTTAATAAGGGCAGGAAAGACAGGCACTTATGTTAAGAACATTAATTTAGATAATTAAAGTACCAGTTGCTTCATATATATAACACACACACACACACATATACACAGGTATACACACACACACTTTTTAATTCAATTTCTTTAGCAAGGTATGCTATGGGTTAGTGATTTACAAAATTCTAAATAGAATCTAGTAAGCAATTAAATGACTGAAATCATAACCCCATTGCATGTCACTGTCCCACTGATGTGCAATGTGTTTGCTGTTTACCTTTGCTGAGTCCTTTGCTTTGCCTTCCTTCTTGGCTGCTTTGGAACTGGAAGCCGCCTTCTTGCTCTTATCCTAAAATAAAGGAAATATAATAAAGCAATGACAACTATCAGTCCAGCTAGACATTAACTACTGACTAAAATCAAAATAATTCAGACCATTTCTTTTAGCCTGGAGATCTGTAGTTTAATAATGGAAGACTTCGGGCATTTTAGTCATGGTTTATTTTTGCAGACTGGGCTCACTCTGTCACACAGGCTAGAGTGTAGTAGTGGTAAATGTCTCTAGCTGGGAGTAAAGGGACATGTTACCATGCTGAACTAATTTTGTTAATTCTTTTTTGTAGAGACAGGTCTCACTATGTTGCTGGTCTTGAACTCCTAGCCTCAAAAGATGTCCTCCTGCCTCTACCCCTCAAAGTGCTAGGATGACAGGCACAAGCCACCACACCTGGTCTTAGAAATGGCTCTACTGGCTCAGCGCCTGTGGCTCAAGAGGCTAAGGCACCAGCCACATACGCCTAAGGCGGCGGGTTCGAATCCAGCCCAGGGCTGCCAAAACAATAATGACAGCTGCAACCAAAAAATAGCCAGGCGTTGCGGTGGGAGGCTGAGGCAGGAGACTTGCTTGAGCCCAGGAGTTGGAGGTTGCTGTGAGCGGTGATGCCAGGCAGTCTACCCAGGGGGACAGCTTGAGGCTCTGTCTCAAACAAAACAAAACAAAACAAAAACAAAAACAAAAACAAAAGAAATGGCTTTACTGAACAATAGTAAATGTACACACACATGTTTAAGGTAGGAGGTAAAAAGACAAGGATGAGAATAATGTGAGTCATGTCAATACTCTGCCAAATTCAGTGACACATGATTCAGTGAGGCCTTGTTTTGCTCATCAAAACAGAGCTTATCTATGAGATAACAAATGTGGGCAATGGGTGTGTAGAAAAGGGAACCCTAATACACTGTTGGTAACAATGTAGATTGGCAGAGCCATTATGGAAAACAGTATGGAAGTCCTAAAGAAATTAAAAAGAGAACTACCATATGACCCAGCAATCCCTCTTCCTGGTACATACCCAAACAAGATGAAATCATCACCTCAGACAGATGCCTGCAACTCCATGTTCATTGTAGCACTGTTCATAATCACCAAGATTTGGAAACAGCTACATGTCCATCAACACACAAATGGCTAAAAACAATATGGTGCGTCTATACATGCTAGAGAGTATTAGAAAAGGAGCCTCTGCCATTCACCACAACGTGGATAGCCTTGGAGGACGTCAGTCTGAGTGAAGCGAGCCACGCACAGAAAGAAAAATACTGCATTGACCTCACTCACATGTGGAATACACACATAGGGAAAGTTCAAATACATATAAAGTGAAACGGGACCAGGGAGAGAGATTAGGGAGGTTAGGTCAGAGGAAATGGAACAGCCAAGGTGCAGGGTAAGCTTAGAGATCAAACGTATAACATGAGGGCTAAAGTTAATGAAATTATATTGTATTAAGGATTTTTTTTTTAAATAAGATTGTAGCCATTCTTGTCACCAAGAAGCAACTCTGTGAGATTAGAGGTACATTTATCTGCTTCACTACAGTAACCATTTTAGTATCTATACGTAACCCATGATGTCATGTTGCAAACCTCAAGTATACACAATGAAACTTATTTAAAAAAAAAAAAAACAGAAATCAACTGAATAAAAACCAAACAAAGCTTGTATACTGGGAGTGGCTTTGAGCCGCCAATGGGGAAAAGTCAAGACACTGTTTCCACTGTTCTGGAGGAGAAACATAACAGTGGAAACACTGCAGAAAGCTGGGGCAGGTTACATATCAATAAAGCCCACTCTCCTACAAGGGAAAGAATATTAGAATGACTGCCGATCTCTCTGCTGAAACCTTTCAAGCTAGAAGAGGGTGGTCATTGACTTTTAATCCCCCAAAACAAAATAATTTTCAACCCAGGATCCTGTATCCAGCTAAAGCTTCATTTATGATGAAATGATGGAGAAATTAAATACTTTAATGACATTCACATGTTGAAGAAACTTGCCATAACTACACCAGCTCTCCAGGATATTCTCAGACCTATCCTCCATAATGACCAGCGCAATCCTCCACCACAAAAAGTAAACTCATTCAGAAACTTCTGATCAAACTCCAACTTCCACAGTGGCAAATGGATGAAAAATGTCCACTGGACTTTTGAAAAACTTGATACCCAAAATTTTACCAGGCTTATCAATATTCACAATTAATGTGAATGGCTTAAATTGTCCTCTAAAGAGGCACAGATTGGCTGACTGGATACAACAACTCAGGCCAGATATCTGCTGCATACAAGAATCTCATCTTACCTTAAAAGATAAATATAGACTCAGGGTGAAGGGATGGTTATCTATATTCTAGGAAAATGGAAAGCAGAAAAAAGCAAGTGTTGCAATTTTATTCGCAGATATAATAGGCTTTAAACCAATAAAAGTAAAAAAAGGATAAGGATGGTCACTTCACATTTAGTTTTTTTTTTTTTTGAGACAGAGCCTCAAGCTGTCCCCCTGGGTAGAGTGCCATGGCATCACAGCTCACAGCAACCTCCAACTCCTGGGCTCAAGCGAGTCTCCTGCCTCTGCCTCCCGAGTAGCTGAGACCACAGGCGCCCACCACAATGCCTGGCTGTTTTTTGGTTGCAGCCATCATTGTTGTTTGGCGGGCCCAAACTGGATTCAAACCCGCCACCTTAGGTGTATGTGGCTGGCGTCTTAGCCACTTGAGCCACAGGCACCAAGTCCACTTTATATTTGTTAAGGGTAATACTCCCTATGATGAGATTTCAATTATTATTTATGCACCCAACCACAATGCACCTCAAGTTATAAGAGAGACTCTAACAGACATGATCAACTTGATTTCCTCCAGCTCCATCACAGTCGGAGATTTTAACACTCCTTTGGCAGTATTGGATAGATCCTCCAATAAGAAGCTAAGCAAAGAAATTTTAGATTTAAACTAAACCATTTGACATTTGGATTTCCATTCAATAAAAAAAAAAAAAACATTTGGATTTAACAGACATCTGCAGAACATTTCATCCTAACAAAACTGAATACACATTCTTCTCATCAGCCCACAGAATGTACCCCAAAATTGACTACATCTTAGGTCACAAGTTTAACCTCAGTAATTTTAAAAAAATAGAAATTATTCCTTGCATCTTTTCGGACCATCATGGAATAAAAGTTGAACTCAAACTCAGTAACAGGAATCTGCATACTCCTACAAAAACATGAAAGCTAAATAACCTTATGCTAAATGATAGCTGGGTCATAGATGAGATTAAGAAGGAAATTACCAAAGTGTTGGAACAAAACAATAATGAACACACGAAGTATCAAAACCTCTGGGATACCACAAAGGCAGTCCTAAGAGAAAAATTTATAGCACTGCAAGCCTTTCTCAAGAGAATGAAGAGATAAAGTTAACAACTTAATGGGACATCTCAAGCAACTGGAAAAGGAAGAACATTCCAATCCCAAACCCAGCAGCAGGAAAAAAATAACCAAAATTGGAGCAGAATTAAGTGAAACTTAAAACAAAAGGAGTATACAACAGATCAATAAATCAAAAGTTTGGTTTTTTGGAAAGGTTTTATTATTTATTTATTTTTTATTTTTTTATTATTTTATTTTCTTATTTATTATTTATTATTTAAATAACATTATTATTATTAAATAATTTTTTATTTTTTTATTATTTTATTTTTTATTATTTATTTTATTTTATTATTTATTATTATTTTCAATAATAAACCTTTGGCTTATAAAAATAAAGCCCATTTTCCTACAAGGGAAAGAATTAAATGAAATTGAAAACAAGGATTATACAACAGATCAATAAATCAAAAAGTTGCTTTTTGAAAAGGTCAACAAAATAGATAAACCTTTGGCTAACCTAACCAGAAAAAAAAAAGATAAAATCTTTACTTTTATCAATCAAAAATGGTAAAGATGAAATAATAACAGACCCATCAGAAATTCCAAAAATGCTGAATGAATATTACAAGAAACTTTATTCTCAGAAATATGAAAATTTGAAGGAAATGGACCAATACTTGGAAGCACACCACCTTCCAAGACTTAGACACAATGAAGTGGAAATGTTGAACAGGCCTACATCAAGTTCTGAAATACCATCAACTATACAAAATCTCCCTAAAAAGAAAAGCCCAGGACCAGACAGCTTCACGTCAGAATTCTACCAAACCTTTAAAGAGGAACTAGTACCTATTACTTCCCCTTTTCCAAAATATAGAAAAAGAAGGAATACTACCCAACACATTCTATGAAGCAAACATCACCTTGATCCCCAAACCAGGAAAAGATCAAACAAGAAAAGAAAATTATAGACCAATATCACTAATGAATATCAATACAAAAATACTCAAAAACATCCTAACAAACAGAATCCAAGTGGGTTTTATTCTAGGGTCTCAAAGCTGGTTCAATATCTGTAAATTTATAAATATAACTCAGCACATAAATTAAAAAACAAAGACCATATGATTCTCTCAATTGATGCAGAAAAAGCTTTTGATAATATCCAGCATCCCTTCATGATCCAAACACTTAAGAAAA